TTAAACACCTTGTGAGAGTTTGGGCTATGACTTATGATTTCTTGGTTGTGGCTAGAATGCTTTTATCATGTTGTGGTTCTAGCTTTCAGTTGAGGCCAAAGGTTTGTCGGCTAAGGCTAAAAATGCTTTGGCTAAGGCTTAATTCTTCACTTTTGTTTTATCTTTTTCTTGGCGTAATAATTTCATAACTTTTTCTTTGCTTCTCAAATAATGCTCCAACAACTAAGAAGACAAGTAATTTTATAAGGTCCAAGTTTAATCTTAACTAAGATAAAAATTATGAAAAATTTAGACTAAGATTTTGTCATTTAAGGCCAAGTATATAATATGCATATTTTCCTATTATATGTACTAAAAGTAAGCACAACTTTATCAAAAACAAATGAAATTGTAGGAAAACTAAAAACATGTTGAAATGGCAAAAATTTCTATCGATTATCAATAATTTTTTTCTCAATTGCTTCTTGCAAGAGAGAGTATTTATGAATCCTAATCATGTTTTCTTGTTAAACAAAGATATCTATTGCTTAGAACAAGCTCTAAAAGTTTGGTTTGAGAGATTGAAAAATACTCTTTTGGGTTATAAGTTTGTTCATTCTAAGTGTGATAGTTCTATGTTCTTTCTCAAGACTAAGGAAGACATAATGTTCTATCTAGTTTATGTGGATGATATCATTGTTACGGGGAACAATTCTTGCATGCTGAGCATATTTATTAGAGAATTAAATGCAAAATTTCCTCTCAAGGATCTTGGTGGTTTACTTTCCTTCCTTAGCATTGAAGCTTTTTAAGATGCTAAGGGACTAATACATATTAGGCCATTTTGAGGAAATGTGGAATGGAATATTGCTCTTCAATGCCTACACCCATGGTGGTAAACAAAAATCTATCTCCTAATGATGGAGTGCCTATGTTGAATCCTATAGTTTATCGACAAGTAATTAGGGCTTTACAATATTTAGTGAATACCAGGCTAGATATCGTGTATTTAGTCAATAATCTCAGTCAATGTCTATAAGCTCTTGCTAACAAACATTAGCAAGTCATGAAAAGAATATTAGGATACTTGAAGGGGTCATCTGATCTTGCTCTTCATATCAGACCTAGTGATTATCTCTACTTGCAAGGGTTTTTCAATGTTGATTAGGCTGTATGCATTGATGATCGGAAGTTTTTTGGAGGCTATTGCATTTTCTTTGAAGACTCTTTAATCACATGGTTAAGTAAGAAGCAAAGGATTGTTATGCAATCAAGCATAGAATCAAAGTATAGATCACTTGCCAATTGGGAAACGAAGCTTGAATGGCTTTAGTATATGTTCTCTAAGATCATATTGAAGCTTCAACAAACTCCAATAGCTTGGTGTGAACATATGAGTGCTTCAAGAAGTAAGCACATTGAACTTGATGTGCATTTTATTAGAGATGAGTGATGAATGGAGATATAGTCTTCCAACCCTGTTTAGTATGTACCTTTATCGGAGAATGTTTCAGACATCTTCACCAAGGCGTTGACTCACTCAAGCTTCTTCAATTTGAGAGACAAACTTGAAATGTCTAAAAATCCTACCTCTCATTTGAGGGGGTTGTGTGAAGGAATTATAGTCAAGGCCCACTGTATAATCACTCAAGCCCAATATCAACAGAGCTTGATACTTACCCAGCACAAGTCCAACATAACATTTACTATGTTTATTTAGTTTATTTTTATGTTTAAGTATTCTTTATTCTTTATTCTTATTCTTAGAGGCAGGTGACTCATTCTTGTACATTAGAGTTTTACCTTACCTCTATGTATAGTAATAAAACCCATCAAGCTATATGTCCCTCTTTCACCTAAACCTGCTTTTATTATTATATTGTCTCAAAGCAAGTTGAAACAGTGCAAATAAGACTTGTCTTGCCATTTGCAACTTATGTGTTTAGAACTGTAAGATTTTGCTGACAGGAACATTTTATTTTGCTTTTGTAGGGAATATACTAGTCACAAGGAGAGATCGAACATTCAATGTAGCTATTCATCTTTTTAGGCATAGGCATGATGATATTCATTACCTCTATATTTCTTTGAAAAAGAAAAAAAAAATCAAACAACAAAAAATAACTCGAAAGTGCCAGTGCGTTCATTTGACTTCATCTTCTAAACTTGAATTATTCAACTGAAAATATGAACCACTTATTTTTGTTTGTCTTTGTCATTAGCCGATTAATGTTGAACTGTAAATTGAATTGTGGGTGTTTCATATAATATTACATTAAGAAACAAGACATAAATTCACCGGAAGTTGAACTTACACTGTTAACAGAAGGCCTAAAATAAATGAAGAAAGTCAGCATTTGACTTGGGGAATTAATTGACATCTCCATTAATTAAAATAGTCCTCATGTCATAAGTCAGGCGTAATTAAAAAGAATAAATAAACATATGTCCCAAACTTTGAAATGACTGCAAATGGTTTTATATATGCACACACACACACAAGGAAAGATTTTTTCCGTGTTGATAAGGAGATTAATCTATTTTCACACCATACTAAAACCCAAATGTGTGAAACTATTTTCACACCACGAACACCCTTCCACAAAAAATTTCTATGGCAGCAAGACAAAGATGTCTAAGCTGTTTATTTTCTGATCAATTTTAGTATTGCTTGCAAGTTGAATCATGGTAAGAACCATTTTCTCCCCTTTTTTCCGCTTCCTTCTGCAATATTCTGCCTGATTTGTCAGATGGTGATTGAGGTACTGGCGTAACATGCAAACGATTTGTCTTCTCTTAGCAGTTAACACTGAGGTAGAAAAGCTTAGAGAAGATTCTCTTCGAAAGCTGAATGCTATGAGTCAGCATTACAAGAAAAGTTTGCAGGGTTTATAAATTCAAGAAATTTTTTTATGCTAGTTTTTTAAAATAATTTTTTTTAAATTTACATTCATAATATTGATACTTAAATTGAGAGGCTAATGTTTTAAAAAGAATTGCCTTCGAAAGATCACTCTCCCTCCATTTTTATCTATAAAAGAAAAAAAATTGCATTATATAGTTTAAGAAAATCAGTTAATTATATTAATTGTGTCTAAAAGAATTAAACTACAATACCTCTCATTAATTACATTAATCAAGCCTTTGTTAATTGTTTCTTATAATTATGAGTGATAAAATTATTAAAGATAATTTAAAAAATTTGCATTAATGCTTATCGAAAAATGTAAATTTGTTTATATATATAAAAAGAAGAAATAAAAGTGATAGTTTTTCTTATAAATAAAAAAAAAATCAACAAGAGGGTGAAGTGCCATGAATTAGAGCCATTGTGAATATCAACTCTGAAACAAATGTGCATTATAAGTTTAAGAGACTCTTTTACTTAATAAATTAATTTTTTAAAATAATTTTTATTTTATTTTATTTGTGCTCATAGCACACTTACTCTCGGTTCCCAACCCGAAGGAAAAGAGTTCATGCGTGTTCAGTCCAAACTGAAGTTTAGAAAACTCTGTTTATCTTGCCCATTTGTTTCACGGCGCTGAAACCTCATGTTGACAAACTAAATTGTTTCGGAAAACCATTTGAATGTTGCATGATTGACTGCACCACATACGGCATCAGCTTCAGAATGAGAGGAGAAAGAACCCTAACAAGGTTCAGAAGTTACTAAAACTCATATATCAACTACCATGCTTATCAATGTATTTATCATCAAGGCACAATTCCTTTCTACATTAAAACAATTTCTTGAATTAAATTATTACAAATATATAACTTACTAATAATAATAACACAATAAATGTCATTCAGTAAAACATGTAGTTACTATGTTATTTACCAGAATTCATACTGTATATTTTTCATGCTTTTAATTGCGGAGTTCAAGACAAAACAAAAAACAAAAAAACAAAAATTTGCAAATACTTTTTATGAATTGAATTAGATGTTGAATTGCAATAAACTACAATCAACCAGCATTAAATCTTTTAAATCAGCAAACTGGTTAGAATCAACAATATATTAAGTCAAATTTCACTAAAAATAATACGGAAAATCACCATGAAATGTCACATAAGCATTGAGAATATCAAAAAATCCCAAATCTGAGGTCCCATGAGACTTGAAGATGAAGTTTGAAGTATCACAAAACCTTCTCTACAAACCCACTCCGACGCGATTATATCTCCTGAATCTCCGATACTGGCAGACTCAACAATCTCCTATCCCGTCTGCTCAACCATCTCGGGAAATTGCCTGGATTATTCCTGCTCCGCTCATCACCATCTTTCTCTCCCATCAACCTTCTCCTGTTTTGTATCTTGGGTTGTTTGTTCTCAAGCCGGTGGGGTATGGCGATGGGGAGAGCAGAGAAGGAGGGATCGAGAGCCTTGAGAGAGAGGTCATGGACGAGGGCGAGGGATTGGAGAGAGGGGTGGGGGAGCTAAATAATTACTTCATTCGTTATATTTCACAGGTTTCATTTTGATTCTGCCTTTTGAAGTTGCGTGAAGTAGAGACGGGGGCTAAATAACAGCGTGATTGAAGAGGAAGATACAAAGAAAAGGAGGAAAAGGTGCTTTGGGGCATATTTCAGCTGATCATCTCTGGCTTTGTCTCTTCACTTTCCCATCTCTGGGGCTTCATATTAGTGACATCATCGACGAACCTGTGAGGGTACTTCGGCAGCCCTCATTGTTTTAAACAATGGGTATCGGGGATTCAGGCCGATAATCGTGTCGGAGTCGGTTAGTGCAAAAGGTTTTCTGATTTTCATGAGTATTTTGGTAATTTTATTTCAAAATTATTCACCCGTTAGTCCCATGGACTTGATTGATATTTGATGAGTTCATACGACTTCTGGGTATTTTCAATGCTGTCCTGGGACTTCACAGTGATTTTCCCACGCTCCAGCTTTCTTTTCTTTTTTCTTGGTACAATAATACTGCATGTAATTATGGAAATATTCTTTCATAAAAAAAAATTGTGGAAATATTCTTCTCCATTAAATCCATTTCTTTACGCGCCATGCAATAAAAAAGAAAGAAAGAACATAATGTTAACTTTGCCAAGATTTTAACTATCTAGCCAGAGAACTCTCCCCACTAATTCCACCAAATGAGAAATCAATTTTACTATGAATTCCACGAGCGATCTCCATAGCCAAACATTGTCTCAATTCCATCACTACGTTACTCATTGTAGGCCTATTCAAGGAAGAAGGCACTACGCAAGCCATTGCAGTATCCAATGCTTTTCCTGCAGAATCAGTATCAAAGTTTCCCTGTAATCTTGAATCCACAATATCATCAATCTTGCTTTCAGGAAGCATGAGATTAACCCATTGGACTATGTGTGGTTTTTCTTCAGTCTTGGCTATTGCAGGTTGTCCTGTAATTATTTCAAGCAGTACAATTCCAAAGCTGTAAACATCACTTTTTTCATTCAGCCTGTTTGACATACTGTACCTGCATAACAGAAAGAACTTGCAACTCAGCCTATTGCACTTGTTATAAAAAAGAAAAAAAAAACTTGCACGGTAAGTTTGTTATTCTATATATATATATATAGCTATTTAATTGGATCGGATTTGAGCATTGTTGGATCCAATTAAAGGTGGCTTTTTCAAAGATGTTTTTTGCATTCACTAGACTCAAACCCAAAGTTTTGTACTTAACTGAACATAGTCCCTTACACTAGTACCACAACTGTTGGTAATGAGTTTTTTATTCATAAAGACTAACTTGTGCACTCATTAATTTCTGACTTCTGAGAACTAAAGATAATCCAGCTATGTTTAGAGTTAGCAAAATCTTACTCGGGGTCAAGGTATCCTGGGGTGCCAGCTATCACAGTAGATATATGTGTATCACCTTCATCGGCAAAGATTTTTGACAATCCAAAATCAGCTATTTTGCCCCGAAAATTTTCATTCAGTAAGATGTTTTTGGATTTAACATCTCTGTGAACAATTGATGGCTTGCAACCCGTATGCAGATACTCCAAGCCTACAGTTGAAGTGAAGGAACATTTTCTGCATAAATGGAAGGATCAAGAAAGGAAATAAAATGAAAAGATGAGTTCTTTCTTTCCTAACCTTCTGCAGCATCCACTGCAATTTGTAACCGTTGTTTCCAATCCAAGATGTTCTCATTTTTCTCTGCATCCACAAAAGTTTCACCGAAAAAAAAAAAAAAAAAACTCAGTTATATACAACTAGAATTGAGTTTGAGCGAACTTTCAGCCTCCATATTGACTTGTATATTTTGTCTTATATGGGCTGTTAGAATCATGCTATTAACTTCCTTGTGTGAAGTAAAATTTAGAAGGACTTGATCCTGTGGCCAATACCTGATAAATGCTTAGCTAAGTCACTATTAGCCATATACTCATAGATGAGAGCTATGTTGGATCCATCATCACAATATCCTATCAGAGCAATCAAGCGTTTATGGTGAACAGTAGCCAAAAGTTTTGCCTGTGAATCACAGTCATAAGCTCTGCAACTTGAATAAATCAAAAGGTACTGTGAAATATGGCAAAAATATTGTGACAGACAGATAAAAGAAGAATTGCTTGGTAAGGAAAGGTGTTTGAAACAGCGATCACTCCGTATGAAGAAGAATTGATCTAATGAAATAGTGGCACTATACCTCTGCCTGAAATTGCTGATATCCCTGAGCTGAAGGTGTAAGCATTTTGACAGCAACCTGAGTGTTACCTAAGAAGCCATGGTAGACTGTTCCAAATGCTCCTTTTCCCACAACCTTTTCAAAGTTGTTGGTAATGCTAGAAACTTCAGCATATGTTAGCTGTTGTTTCTTTAGCTTTAGTTCCTTATTTATTTTGGAATAAGCACTCAGCTTCTCTGGAAAGATGGAAACCGCGAGAGAATAAAGAGTATGCACTCAGAAAAAAAAGAAAAAAAAGAAAAAAAGTTCCCCCCTTATCTAACTTGGCTGTTTAAATAAACATAGTCAGATTTTCGTTGGTAAATAGCATGACTGTTTTCTCAATCTTATTACGAGGAGTTTTTACCTACAGAAGACATTAGACACGTACCTTCTTGTTTTCTTCTGAAGATGCAGAAAGCAATTGTGACTGTCAGCAGTATGAAAACTCCGGCTAGCGATGATACTAATGGAATGACAACCTTTGCCTTGCTACTCTTGCATGAATCTTCTGAAGAGCAAAGATTTGGATTTCCACCAAAACTTGCATTTAAAATGAAAAGTGAACAAGTTATATCACACTATTCTCCAAAAAAAAAAAAAACAATGATAATAGAGAATTATCTCAACCAGCGCCTTAAATAGAAGTAGAGCGTCCCTTAAAATTTAAGAGAAATTACAAGGCTAGATTGTACATAGCTCATTTTCACTTTTGAATAACTTACAGATAACTACTTGAACTTCAACACTGGATAATGAACCCCCCTTAAAATTTTAAAATTGTGCAGATAATACTCCTATAATTGGGTAGCTATTTGACTAATGAAAGCATTTATCCACACATGATCTGAAGTTTATAAGAATTATTAACACACAAACAAAAGATGAAGTGGGTTGTTTGCACAAGAAATATAGTGAAATAAAAAAAAAACTAAGGAAATAAGGGTTATCTACACAAGTTTAAAAGTTTAGTGAGTTCATAGTTAAATTTGAAAGTTAGTGAGATTATATGCTCAAGATCCTTAGTTACAGGTACTAATCTATTTAGCTAGGAGAATTAAAAATACAACCATTTAACTTTAGTTCATTTACTAACCCTCACTTCGATTATAAATATAATAAATTATACATCCTTTGGCAGTTGAGAATTTTGGAATCTAGGCTGCATGAACCATTATTGCACAGAAGAAAGGGTGTAAAGTTCCACCGCTGTTAACAGGAAATGTTTTAAACGCTAAAGGGTGAGAGTTTGAGAGTAACTCCTTGTTGAAGAAAAAAGAAAGGGGTATTTGCAAAATGATCAGAGTTGATAGAGTGTAATGCAATTCTCTCTAAATAGATACAAAAATGGAGCATACCTGAGTTTGAGTGATCCATTCTTTGACCTCTCATAAAGTTCTGCTGGAATTGTTCCAGATAGCTGATTGCCTTCGAGGTCTCTTCAGGGGACAAAAAATATTAGTGTCAGATTTTTCCCCTTTTCTGGAATATACATGTTTTCTTGAAGAATTTAAGAATCCATATGAAAATTGAAACGATTTACTCACAGAACCCTCAAGAACTGCAGTTGAGATAGGAAACTAGGTACGTCTCCGACTAAACTATTGTTTGACAAATCCCTAAAATGAGAATAAATAATCTTTGTCAGATAGTCAACTATAAGTTACTATTTTCATCTAAGAGGTTGAGATGCTTACAAATACTCAATCGACTTCAAATTGGATATGTCTGGAGCTATGTTTCCAGTTAATCCACCAGAGGATAAGTTCCTAAAAGCCAAATGGTATGAAGTCCGTCACTATTGTTGAAGATGATGAATTCAAACAATAAAATCTTCATTTTTTAATGACTATTTTATGTTATACTTACAAGGATGTGATCATTGGTGGCCCAGATCTATCATAGCTGCAGTTAAGACCGTCCCACAAGTATGCCTGTGGAGTACAAGGATCTCCTTGCCAATTTCTCTTGATCCCATAAAATGACTTGATGTTCATGATTGCATCAACTTTTATAATACAAGTAATTCAGTCAGATTAGATAAAGAACTGTGAGTAATCACGATGGTACTAGCAGAACTGGCAACCGGTGAACGTACCATCTGTTTGCTGTGTTTGTGATTGAGAGAGATCCTTAACCATATATATCTCAATGGCATTGAAAATAGGAGGCAGTGTTGATCTGCCAGTTTTATTGATCCAAATATCGAACCAAGGTTCAGTTGTTGCTTGTATATAATACTCGGTCTCAAGGTATGGAGGACTGACTGGATCAGAATTGATAAGGCCTCCATTCAAGAAAGTGTTGAATTCTCTGATTTGATTTGCTTGGAGTTTCTGAGTTTCAGCAAAGTATAAGCATGTGTAGTAAGTAGAGGCATTGTACCTGGGGAGGAAGTGAAATTCCATGTCGTTCCTGACATTTGCTGGCGTTGCCGCTGTTCTCATGACAGTGGAGGGTGGTACTGTTATGAAGCTGTAGGATGGTACTGATGATGATGATCCTTGGCCTACAGGAAGTGAGGTATTCATCCGTTCCCAGTCTTTTGAGTTATGAGGAGTCCATATTCGATCATAGATGTCATCTGGGTATCTTTAAAAAAGAGGGTAAAACATCAGTGAGCATGAGATTGAAACCCAATTTTCATGAGTGTTTTAAAAAAAAAAAATTGTTGACAATACATATTTTCTTGCAATCCCTTGTTCATTAAGATATCTTCGCTTTTGTGCACGCATTCTGTTTCCATTCATGAATGTAGAACTTAACCTAGCACATACTTCGTTAAATTAAAGACACTAATATCATGAAATTCTTGCTCGGGAAGGTGACCTTAGATGTTGGCTTTTATAAATTTAAGGTTCCTACTTGTCGTAGCACACAATTTTTTTATGTAAAAATACAAGGCTCACCTGACTAATTCACCATCCTGCAACCCTAAATCATACCGCGCCAAGAGCTCCAGAGAACTAACAAGATAGGCATCACTGTGAAGAACTCTGAGCTCCAAAACTGATACGAAAGGTGTCCCATTGTTGGTGTTAAAAAGGCAAACATGAACATAATTTGTTGAAGCAGCATAAATGATTTCCTTGATCAATATATCAGATGCATTCTGAAACATCACTGAGTCCCACCACTTAGTTCCAAGATAGATGTCAAATTTGGGAAGAGAGTCTTCACCATCATAGTTACCATACATGAACATGGCTCTCACTAGGTACTTGCTGCCACTTCCTTGAGGAGCATTAAGGGTATAGCAGTTCCTAGTTCCTTCTGGGAAGCTTCGAACATTCCGGAACTGCCTTTTAAGAGTGTTTGGCTTATATTTGGATGATATGCTGTGGGTAATTCCAGTGGATATAAAGTTGGCATCTGAAGTGTAATTGATGGAAGTGGTTTCATCGGTGTAGTTTGGCTCACCCACGAGTCCACAATCAATACTGATGAATCCTGCAAAATGGGTAAGCCTAAGTCGTAAGAAACATGAAGATGTGATAGCAGTCAGATGAAGATGAGACTAGCTAACCTGATTGATTCTGGGAATGAACAAGAACTGCAAGTGGCAAAGAAAGTTCAAACAATGCGAACAGAACAACAACTGAAAGGTTTTGCAGACTCCAAAATTTAGTTATGGTTTTGGGGGGAACAGTCTGGTCGCAAGGAAAGATTAAACATTCAGCGAAGCTATTCATCTTTCGAGGACAAGAATGATGTTATTCATTATTTCTATATATTCTTTTAAAAAAACATCAAGAAATAAAATAGTAATAATAATAATAATAATAATAATAATAATAAGACTGGAGGAAAAAGGAAGGAAGAACCAATGCCTTCTTTTTTGACCATTTTCTGGAGTTGAATTAAAAAAAATGTAAATATGATCTCTTTTGTCTTGTTCATCATTGGAAGGAGATTGGGGTTGTAGATGTAAATTGAATCGTGCGTTTTTCAAAGGCCACTTAATTCAACTTTCAGATGTGATTTCAGCAGGTGCTGCAATTCCAAAGTTACTAGAAGGTCCAAAATATAGAAACAGAGCACGTGTTTGACCAGCGGAAATATTTTTGTATTCCGTTGGTCAAACTATTATTTATACATTCCTAACTTTGAAATGACTCAATTAGTTTATATGTACACATACATACATAAATAAATAAATAAATAAATATATATATATATATATATATATATATATATATAAGACTCTTACATAGATTAGTCATCAAGCCGACATGCTGAAACCCAAACGCGAGAAATTATTCTCACGCCAAGAGCACCCTTGGTGGGGAAAAAAATTACCTGAAATCAACCGAGTCTTCCATTTCGATGATACAGAGAAATGATAATGGAAATAGACAACTTAAAAGATTTTCATCTTTCCTGATAAGCAAACATCAATCATTTTAAGATTTTAAATTTACTTAAATGGAAGTCTCTTGCCTGTTTGAAACGATTTCCTAAAGTTCAATTCCATATACCGGGTCACATCTGAAGTGGAATCTTCTAAACATCAAAGGCGCGAAAACTTGAGGCAAAGTCATGAAATGGGGATTCATGCAGATTCTATCCACAAGTGAATCTATACATATTTGGTAAAATGTGATTAGCCTCTCGCTTTTAACTATAACTTTAAATTTCAGCTGGGTATAATAAATTATAAAAATAATTAATTAAATGATAGAGTTTAATTATAATTAATTATGTTATAATACAATCTGTTTGAATATTATTTTTTTAAAATTAATTTTAATAAAATTAAAAATATTTGGATAATTTATTCAAAATTAATTTTAGCTATATAAATTACCATAAGGATATTGCCTTTTAAAATTAAATTATTGATAAATTTATATCTAATATTATTAAAGTTGTTACATTTTATTTGAGAAATAAAATATATTATTTAAATTACATATCTAATTAATTAAAAAATTTAAATTATATTAATATTAACATTTAAATTTATGTAAATAAGTAACTCAATATATCTTAATTAAAATAAATTTAATAAAAGAGAAATATTTAACTCTTAAATATCAAACACTAATTTTACAATAACTAATAAAAATGATAATATATAAATTGATCTTTAATGACATCATAGATATGAGTCATATCTGACAAAAATGTTAAATACTATTTTAAAATTTTGACAACATAAAAAATGTAGCAATGTAATAAATGATGTAAAATCTCTCTCTCGTTGAACATTTGCAACAATCTTGTAATGACCCTCAATTTTATTTTAAATTAAATTAAATTAATTTTTCTCTATTAATTAATATTTTATTTGAATTAGTTTTATAATAAGTGTTAAGTGGAGGATAATAATTGACAAAAACTTATGCTAATAATTTTTTTAAAGATTCAAAGTTCAAATTTTACTAAGAAGAAAAGAGAGAAGAAAAAAAAAAGTTTGATTTTATTTTTATTAAATTTTGTGCATTTTTTTATCTTTTTTTTTTTTGTCTCTCTTCGTAATTTTTTCCAATGCCTTTGTAAATTTTAAGCAAAAGCTGACTCTGAAAGCTTAGGGAAAAAATTAATTTTTTTAAAAAAATTGATTTTTTTTGAAAACATTGGTATTTGGATAATTGAAACAAAAATCAATTTTTCCCCCAAAAATTTGATTAAAAATGGCTATCCAAACACGCACTAATTCTATAATTATGGACAGCCCGTCTCTTGGGTAGGTCTAACCTTTTGCCTACAGATTTATGCGATGAGCATGATGCTCCTCTTTAATCCCCTACACAATGCATTTCCAAAGCCTTTGTATTTTTCTTAAAAATAAAATTTTATACGTGAATTAAGCTATTGGACAACACAAAATTTTATCAGCAAGTCCAGCTTAATTCTAAGTAGATCATTAAATTATAGCTGCCAAATGTTAGACTTCTAATTTCATCATTTAATAAATGCGTTCACATCGTAACTTCAATTTTCCGATTCCTATGAAACAAAAGGCATCAGTGTAAACTTACAATTTCCAGTGACTTCATTTGCCTTAATTTCATCAAATATTCGGAGGCTTAGTCCATGCACTAAAACTACCAATTAATGACTTCTACAGCAAAGTATTTATCTACTTCCATCCCACAATACAAAATCCATAGAATAATACAATGTTGATACAATTCCTCCAATATACAACTTTCACATCCAAGACCCAAAATAATAGTTGATGGGACTTGAAAAGAATGTTAGTCCTGTATATTTTATTGTCAATCTAAAATTTAACAACAGGATGAAATAAAACTTATTTTCAAACTAAATGATACATTTTGCCCAGCTTGACCATTAAAGGGGGCAAAGACCAAAGAAATTACTTCGTTAGTATTCCTAAATGAAGCATGTAAGTCCCACCCCAACCCCCAAAAGAAGAAGTCTGCACCAGCTTCCCAGTTATTAGAACTTACCATTCAGCTGCTACACCACCTAAACTCCAGGAATTGGATACTGAGTAGTGAGAGTTTCAACTTTTTTACGAAGGTTTGAAATCTCGTCTTTGAAAGGAAATTCAGGGGATGACACCAACTGCAAAAAGTCTTGGAGCTTTGTTCCTGGGGCCAGATGTTTGGCTTCAAGTGCTACTCGCACACCCTCATGAATGAAGTCTGCGATCAGAACAAACTCTCTCTCTCCTAGTCCTCTTGTTGTCATTGCTGGCGATCCAATGCGGATGCCCCCGGGAACCAGGGCACTTTTATCAGTAGGAACAATGGAAAAAATATTTGGAAAGAAGGGGAGGGAGGAAGATCAAACAGACTAAATAAACAAGGCAAAGAATACGGTACACAAGCAGCAAGAATCTCACCAGGCACTGAATTCTTGTTGAGAGTTATAGAGGCCATGTCAAGAATTTTCTCCACTCGTGCACCATCAATACCCTAGGATAATTGATGTTGGTTTATGTAAAAAAGAAAGGAGTAGACGACCCAAATATATATAGACATAATATATAAAAGTTAAGTTCATAAAGCATCATATAGTCGATATCCACAATCATGATGACTTTTTTTCTTGGTGAAAGACAACCATTATGACTTTACCAGTGTTTACCTTGCCACCTTTACCGTTTTTTTTTTCCCCCTTTTGGTCCATTCACCTTTAAACTTTTATGGAATGCATGAAATAATTTTAGAGCAACATTTAAACTTCCACAACATAGAGCAACAAAATAACAAGGAGCAGAAACAAAGAAGGAATAATTAAAAAAAAAAATACTGAAAATTTATCCTGAATTTGACATAAAAAAGCAACATGCTTACAGATGGCCTTAGATCAACAAGAGCCAGGTGATTATCAGATACCAATTTGAAGCTATGTTCAATCAATCGATTAGCTAGAGTTCTACAGTTAGAGACCACCTACAGGATCAAAGTTATATGAGTGCACCAGTCATGATACCTTGAGGAACATACTTATCAATGGTCGAAAGAGAAATACCTGGTTTTGATAAACCTTGAACTCTGGGGATTGAGCATATTTCAAACACACTGTTAATCCTCCAATTGTATGGTTATGAGGGCCGCCCTGAATAAAGATAATTTTAGTGCCAAACTATGAAAGCAGGGGCAATATTCCCAACTAGAATAGTAGAGACCTAAGCAGAACCATTATCTTACTTGTAGGCCTGAAAAAACAGCATTGTTAATGGCAGACTCTAGATCGACACCATGCACAGATTCTTTCTTGAAGAATATCATGCCACCTCTTGGACCTCTCGAAGACTGGCAAAAAAATATTTAATTGTGCAAAAAAATATTTAATTGTACTAAGTCATGGGTGGGAAACACCAAGAGAGTGTATAGTTAAATGTTAGATGCGTTAGTTGTTAGAAGAATGAAAGCAAACTCTGCTTCCTTCACTTTTGAATAAAAAATTAAAGCACGATATTGGGAATGTCTCAAGGAAAACCTTGTGAGTTGTGGTTGTCACAACATCACAAAATTCAAAGGGATCAGCAAGCACACCAGCAGCAACAAGTCCACTAATATGAGCCATATCCATCATAAGAAAAGCACCAACTTCATCTGCAATCTTCCCAAGCATATCAGATATAATTAGCTTTTTGCTAAGAAAAGAAAAATCACATATACATGAAGAGATATTCCATCACAAACAAAATATTCTAGAAAATACATATAAACAGGACTTACTTTTCTCATCTGTGGATAGTCAATGTCTTGAGGATAAGCACTAGCACCAGCAATGATGAGTTTTGGTCAGAAGAGATTAGCAGTTTTCTCAAGCATACCATAATCAATGAGGCCTGTTTACAATTCAAAAGTAAGCACCTGTCGATTATCAAATATATTTGCATGGTTTAATAAAAAAAAAAAATGTATGCATCAGTGAATTCATCAAGTTGAAAAGGCATCGGTTCACAATAGATTGATGTGCCTGATACACGCCTTTTGGGAGTCATGAATCCATGAGATAAACGTCCCCCGTGAGGCAAGTCCAAATAATATAAATGAGAAAAATGCCCCCCATCAGTACAGCCTTGTGACAGAAAGGCTATTTCGGAATAGCAAAAATCACATAAATGAAAATTGTTTACCATTACTCGATCATGTGGCTTAAGAATTGCCGTGTAAACCTCAAAATTAGCACCAGAGCCAGATGAAGGTTAAACATTTACACCCCACTTACTCCCATCCAAGTGAAATGCAGCCAATGCCCTCTC